GGGGGGGCTGCGGCGGGTCCAGGCCAGGCGACGGGGCCCTTCGCCCGGACGAAATGGTATCCTTAGGTGGCGAGCCAGAGCTGACGGCCCAAAGCAGCGGTGCTCCTTTCCCAAGCAGGGCACCGGAGGCCAGGTGGGACTGTCTGCCAGAGGGCAGCCTGGGGCCTGGGTCTGGAAGGATCAGGCCTCCTTGTGTTCGAAGCAGATGGCCAAGCACTGAGTGGGATAGTGGAGCTCTTCATAGGCTGGACTCTCCTGTCTCCCTGTGTGCAGTCCCCTCTCCTGGGTCCTCATGGCCTGTGATGATACCGCCGTTGTTAATGGATCTGTTGGTTTCCCTCTTCAATGTATTTCTGTGTTTCAGGGTTAATGACGGCATAGTTGACAATGTGCAAAGGTCTTGACAGTATCATAAAGCATTTCAAAAACGTCTGAGTTAGATGTCTGTCCCGTCCCCAGAGACTGCTGTGATAAGTGTCAAACTTGTTGCTCTTATCTTTTATAGGAAATCTGAAAGATGACAGTTACAACATGGAGAAAAAAATCCCACAGTGTGAAAAGTGACCTTATGCCAAAGCTGATCCCTCCCATTTTGTTTTTGCTGCTGGCTATCCTGCTGGTGAACCTGGTCCTCTATCAATACCTCAGCAATGTCTCTGTTTCCTATGGAAAGACCGACATGGGACTCGGCGTTTGTCCATACGGTTACTTCCAATTAGGTACCCTGAAGAACTGCTCGCCATGGTTGTCTTGCGGGATCATAGGAGGAGAAGTCCGCAAATTGAAACGCGTGGGTGAAGGTGCTGTGAAAAGGGTCGGTTGATCATAACAGAGCTTGAAGCTGCCAAAAATATTGTTCTTGGAGTTTTATAATTTTATTTCAACAGGTTATATTGAATAAATATGCCATGTGCAAGTTAAAGTGAATGGACATAGCAACACAGTGATGTAATACAATAAAATCTATGTATAGATTGGCTACAATAACAGTAAGCATTAAGTATTGTTATGCTATGACTGTTTATAATAAAGTTTAGAGAGAAAAATAGGCTTTAAACTATGCATTGATGTGAAGCCACTCCCCCACCAAAGAAAGTTTGGAGAGTATATTTTAAAATGAGGACTTTCATAGGGAACACACACACACACAAACAGAAAAACCCTTGTGAAATATTGTCTCTCTTTTTGAATGAGTTAAAAAAAGAGCCAATTTGATGTAGTGGTTAGGAGCGCGGACTCTAATCTGGGAGAACCCGGTTTGATTCCCCACTCCTCCACTTGCACCTGGCTGGATGACCTTGGGCAAGCCATAGTTCTGATAAGAGCTGTTCTTGAAAAAGAGCTGTTTCTGTCAAGAGCTCTCTCAGCCCCGCCTACCTCACAGGGTGTCTGTTGTGGAGAGGGGAAGGGAAAGGAGTTTGTAAGCCACTCTGAGACACCTTTGGGTAGTGAAGGGCGGGGTATAAATCCAATCTCTTCTTCTATTGAGATTGTATGAGAGTTTCTGTCCAAATAATACTTTATGGAATTTGTTTTTTCCTGACTCTCAGATGGCAAAAATCAAGGTAACATGTCCTATGGCAGCATAAAGGTGTAGCAGTTTGCAGTTCTTGATCTCAAGTTTTGGGTTTATTTGCAAGTTTTCTAATAGAAAATGAAGTCATTTAGACTTTTAAATTTCTTGAACATGCCAAATAGGTACAATTTTATATGCTAACTAAGTTTAGTTTATTATTATTACAGTCTTAAGACCAACATACAGAGTAAGCATAACATGTGAGGGAGAGAGAAAAACCAGTCATAATATACAAAAATAGAAATCTGAATTTAAGAACTTTCAAACTGAAATTCCCACAATCTAAGAATTAATGCACAAAACCCAGCGACTGAATGTGTAGCGAATTAAGTTGTAAATGATGCATTTCGCGTTGTCTAATCATTAAAAGTAGTTTGCCAGAAAGTATTGCATATATTTCATTTCCCTTCGCCAAATTAAATAACATTTTTTCTATGTCTTCAAAATTTCTAGAACTAAGTTTGAGTCCGGTGGCACCTTTAAGACCAACAAAGTTTTATTCAATAAGCCTTTGTATGCAAGCACGTTTCTTCAGATGTGTGCTTGTCCACACAAAAGCTTATACCTTGAATAAAGCTTTGTTGGTCTTAAAAGGTGCCCCACTGGACTCAAATGTTGTTCTGCTGCTTCAGACCAACACAGCTACCCACCTGAATCTAGCTTCAGAATTTCTAGAATTGTTTACATTGTGCAAAACCTTCTCAGCACTTCAAATACTATATATAACTGCTTATTAATATTCTTTTGCTGTTTAATAGGACAATTAAATGTAGCATTCTTTATAGCAGACAAGATTCATGGTTGATTTGTTGATCTTAAAGGTGCCACTGAACTCAAAGTTTCATGGTAGTCCAATAGAACCAGAAACGTAGAACCAAGTGAGCGAATTAAAAGTTAATGCTAGGGGCTGCATTATGTCTTTGGGGGGAAAATAAAATTGAATTCAACTCCTTTCTTTTAGGTCTTCCTTTCTGAGTGGAAGGAAAACAAAGTTGCTCTTTCACAGTTAACAATGCTTGAGCTACAGGAGGACTTTCTTCATGGACTGCAGATGCTGAAGTCTCTACAGGGCAAGTATGTGGTCAAACTCGTTGGCTTTTGTGCGGAGGATTTCCTGATTCTAACTGAATACCATCCCTTTGGCTCCTTGAAGAATCTGAATCAGGTACTGAACTTACCAAAGTACAAGGTCTTCAACACATGGCATCGCAGGTTCATGCTGGCTATAGATTATGTGAGCATCATCCATTACCTGCACAACAGTCCTCTGGGCACCTTTGTGATGTGTGACTCCAGTGACTTAGATAAAGTACTTTCGCAGTATTTACTAACAAGTGACTTTCACATTGTTGTAAATGACTTGGATGCCTTGCCCCTTGTGAACAGGAGTGCTGGAGAACTGGTCAGGTGTGGCCATCAAGAGCTTCAGGGTGAGTTTGTAGCTCCTGAGCAGCTTTGGCCTTATGGACCGGAAGTGCCATTTGAAGACAGCCTCATGCCACCATATGATGAAATGACAGACGTATGGAAAATCCCTGATGTTACAAACTTTCTGTTGGGAGAAGTAGAAGGGAGTGACCTGGTCAGGTTTCATTTATTTGATATCCATGTGGCATGCAAGAAGAGCCCAGCCGAAAGGCCGTCTGCTGAGAAGGTTTTGGACTCATACAGGAGAGTTCTAACATCTCTTGTTCGAGGAACAGTAATGCCAGGGACCAGGGACATGTTATAGGAATCTTGTAGACTATGTTTGGCACCACGGCTACACTTGCCACGTAGTCTTGCCTGCCTATAATGAAATGTACACAGGGCTGTAACTAAGGGGGGGGGGAATAATCTCTCTGCTTATTCAGTCTCCTAATCAATATCGTCCTCCCACTGTTTTCTACTGTCACCGGTTTCTAAAGAATGGGAGAAAAATATCAATGATCTAGGTTTGAAAAATTACAATTTTTTAATCTAAGATTTCCTTGCCTAAATCATAGACTTGGCTTGCTAAAAGGAGTTAGATAATTGCACATGGTACTTTTCTGTTCTCGTTCCATTTCTTAGTCATAGTCTCTGCCTACTGTCTGGTAAAACTGCACATTCCAGTACAAAATTATTATACAGGGATCTGTTTCTATGTAGCAGGATCTGAAAATGAAGTGAGTTAGATGCCTGAACTCAGCTGTCATCAGTATAGGAGTAGGTTACGTTTTCATAGATGAGTGCTATGTCCAGAACACTGCTGCCCAGTGCGGGAGGCAGAACTAAATGCTATGAAGGAAACTCTGTAAGATCACGGAGCTGATGGTTTGCATTGCAGGTGCATCTGGTTTTCTTAAGCATTACTGTAACTAAGGGAGGTGGCAACACTCCCTGCTTATTCACTCCCCGATCCAGATAGCCTCAGTCTGGCCTGTGGCCTCTGCCTCTGGTGTTGCAGAGCTCTGTTTGCTTTGCTCTGAGGTCTTCTGGTGAGCGGCTTCTAGGCTGTTCTGGATACCGAAGACAAGGGCGCCATTACTGAAGCTGAGTAATTTCTCCCTGGCCAGGAGTCGGGAGGATGACCCCAGGAGGACCCTGAAACCAGGACACGAAGGCCCTGCTCCTCAGTGCCTCCACCGCTCCTTCAGCGAATTCTCTCCTTTAGCCCCCATCGAGCATCCGTACAAAAGGCTTCCCCTTTTCATTCTGCCATGGGCACATTCTCTCTGGCAATATATAGCCTCTTGGCCAGCCTTCGCTACCTCTCAGGCTCTGAGCCCCACTGGTTCATAATTAGGGACCAATGAGAATGGACAGTTGACCAGTCATTTGTGGTTTCTGTTTGGGTGTCTTTTTTCTTCTTCCGGAAATGGAGGGGGGAAATGTCTCAATTTTACTCAAGTCAGTTTTGGTGGCTGGAAACAGGAGAGGCCTTTACAGGACTCAGAAAAGGGGACTCTTGAGGAATCATATTTTCTTTTTGATGGTCCTGGTGTGAAGAAAAGCTCTTATGAAGAGATTTTGAGGTGGCCTTTTGAACGCACCCAAAAGGAGGGCAGGAGGGTCTCTCCAGGGAAGGAGGCTCCAGAGAACTCGTAGAGAAGGGCTGCTCGGTCAGCGTCAAAAAAGGCCACTCAACCCCCAGGGTAGTTTAGGCACACTTGGATCCTCTTCAGCTCCCCGGTCAGGGTCAGGAGAGGATCATGGCCTTCTGCGGCAGCACGGTAACCACCATCCCACTTCCCCACAGCCCGGATCCCTTCCTCAGTACCAAAGGTGAAGTCTCCCTCCTCACAGACTTTCTGGCCACCCCCACAGCCCATTCTTCCTCACTTCCCACCAGGACTTCCCAGAAATGGCGGCCTGCTCTGAACCCCTCACAGCCCAGCACAATACCCCACGTGTCAAATCTCTCAGGATTGTTGGGCAGGGCTTGAGCTTTTTCTCCATCTCTCACGCTTTTCTGACCCTCAGACAGGATAAGTTCGGGATGGGCCGTGTCTGGATACAGAGTCACATTCGCTTTCTGCAGGTCAGATCCAGAATTTAGGGTGTCTTTGAATTGCTTCTTCATGCCCTCCAAAAGGGGATTTAAATCCGATAAGTCCCAGATGCGCCACTTCAGTGCAAGAGGAAAAGCCACTGAATGTTTGGGTGTCTGCCCCCCTTCTGTAAAGGTTCTCCCCCTCCCTCACGGGTGTCAACATCATAAGTGATCTTCATGGGGGAAATAACTGGGAGGCAGTTGCGGGTGAGAGAAGATTCAGCCTCGTACGTGCCCACCCGTCCACCTGTTTGCACAAATGCACGTTTGGGCATATGTTTTGCTGATACACTTGCTGACCCTGCTCTGTGAGAGATGCAGGCATGGGCTGCCGCCTTGCCCCATTAAGAGGCTCACAAGCAGTAAATGTCATGGCTGTCTGGGGCCCACATAACTAACTGCTGGGGTGCCGTGGCCTATTCAGGATGATGATGCAATTCTGGGCATGCTAAAGGGGTGAGTGCAGCATTTTCTGGGGCTGGTCTACGCATTGCCTCCGGCCCTGCTTTGAAGGGAGTGCCAGCCATGACGCAACTGCACTCTCCCACCCACTGTGGCCAGCTTGCCAGAGATTAGGAGACTCCCCTTCCCCAGCTCCAGAAAGAGGAGGCCATGTGGGGGGATGGGATTTCTCAGTCCTCCTGGGCTTGTGCCTCCAACAGCACTGTTCCCAATCCCTAGCCAGAAGTTCACAAATGGCTGACTTAATCGAAACTGCACTGACCACAGGAAGTAATGAAGGAAACCTGTATTTCCATCCTTTATTTTTAAAAACTCACAACATCCTTGTGAGGTAGGTTAGGCTGAGAGTGTGTGACCGGCTCAAGGTCACCCAGAGCAAGCTTCCATGACATGAGTGAGGATTCGAACTTGGGTCTCCCAGATACTAGTCCAACACTTAACCACTACACCGCACTAGCTTTATAGTGATAAGCTGTTGTCTTTACTGGAACACTCAACCGATGCTAGTCTGGGCCTAGACAAACAAGGGAAATAATATGTCCTGTTGACCCAGGTGCTAGCTAATGTATATTCCTGGTTGAGAGGAAGGCATCTTCGAGAAGCTAGGGAGGGATGATGGGTGGGAAGAGCAGAAGGATGAAGATCTCTGTGGCAATCATCCCCAGAAGGCCCACCTCCTTTCCAGGGCTCGGAACCAATCGTTGTGATTTTGGCCAATTGGAGCCCACAGCAGGTGGGATTTTGGTGGCTCTGGAGGAGAGTGGCAGTTCAGTTGGGGTTTCATTTGGTTGTTAGTTCAGGTTTGGGGGTCGGGTTAGGGAAGAAAGCTTGTTTTAATGTTGACAAATCAGCATCCTGTTAAGGGCCCAATATTCCTAACTTCTGTGTACAGGTTCTGTGGACAGGAGCTCTGTGTGGTAAAAAGAACAACCTTCTGGTTGCCTGCCCCCCCCCCCGGGCCACTGGCAGGGGAGGGGGGGGAGTAGGGTTGCCAGATGCAGGCTGGGAAACTCCTGGAGATAACCTGTCTGGAGAAAGGGGAATCAAGTTTTCCCTCAGGGCTTAGTTACCTTAACTGAGGCTCAGCTACAAAGTGATCACTTTCATTGGGGAAAGCTTGTAGCCTTTCTTTCTTTTTTTTTGGGTGGTGGTGGTCAAAGTGAGAATTAGTTCACTGTATACTAAAACATTTCCACACAAGATCATTATCCTGTTAAATACATTATCTCCCCTTAAATAAACATTTGTCATTCATCTCCATCTGTGTCTTGTCTGTCTAGTCAAATACCTAGGACAAGGTGATTTCTGTTTGCCTCACAAATCATTACAGCCTTGGTCTAGAAAGTTCCCGAACAGGAGACCTTTAGAGAGCATGTGACGTCCTTGCTTATTGAGCTGATGGTTTTACCTTTAAAACACACACTGTGTACATGAACTTGGTAGATTTCTGCTGCCACCAGGAATTAAAAAATCCAAATCTCTCTTTTGGTAGAATGACCCAGGGTCTGGGCACTTCAGAGGACTATGTGGCTCTGAGGAAAAACTATTCTGATTGCTGGGATAAATTTAAACAAAAAATGATTTATTTAATAAAGAACTAAATAGGTTTCTGGTTAATTTGAACTCTTGCTGAAGAAAGGAACTTGTAACTATAACTGGCAAAGCTTGGTGTCACAGTCTCTCAAATGCCACTCTGACAGGCTTAGACACTCAGTCTAATCTCATATATATCTAGCCACACAGTCTAAACCCTTCGTCTTATTCACACAGAATAGACTCAAATTCCCATAGTCACACAGACTAAACCATTTGTCTTATTCACACAGAATAGACTCAAACTCACATAGTCACACAGATCATGCTCTCCCTTCAGATTTCACACACAGAATCACCTCATACACCCCTCCTCCGACACTCCAAGTCATCAGCCAATCACATCACACTTGTCTCCCCTCACATTACTGCAGTCACACTAAACATTTAAAGAAACACACACACCAAAAGTGGAATCATTACAGAGCACCATAACTTACATGCTACCAACCATTTTATTCAAAGCCTGTGTGTCTCCTTTCCCCTTTACTTGATCATGGCTAGTAGAGGTTTACAGAATCCATGGGAGGCACCAGAGTTGGTTTCAGATTCTTCCGTCCAGGGGGCACGTGCCTCCGAATCTTCCTTCCCTTCCTCTCCCACCATGGGATGCCCCAGTAACTATCTCTGAAAAGATATTGCCGAGCGGGAGAAAGTACACAAGAGGGCAACCAGAATGATTAAAGCGTTGAAGTGCCTTTCCCAGGAGGTGATATGATAGCCACCTTCAAGTACTTGAAGGGCTGTCATATAGAGGATGGTGCAGAGTTGTTTTCTGTTGCCCCAGAAGGTTGGACCAGAACCAACAGGTTGAAATTAAATCAAAGAGTTTTCAGCTAAACATGAGGAAGAACTTCCTGACAGTTCGAGCGGTTCCTGAGTGGAACAGGCTTCCTCGGGAGGTGGTGGGCTCTCCTTCTTAGGAGGTTTTCAAGCAGAGGCCAGATAGCCATCTGACAGCAATGCTGATTCTGTGAACTTAGGCAGAACGTGAGAGGGAGGGCAGGAAGGGTTACCTCAGTGCTTAGTTCTTGTGGACATTTTTTACACGCCCAGGGGAATGCTGATTGCCACTTTGGGGTCAGGAAGCAATCCTGGAGGTTTTTTGTCATCTGGGTGTGGAACAGGGGTCACTGCGGGTGTGGAGGGGGAGGTAGTTGTGAATTTCCTGCCTTGTGCAGCAGGGGGTTGGACTAGATGACCCTGGAGGTCCCTTCCAGCTCTCTGATTCTGTGAAAGGCTGGAACTTTGCAGTTTAGAAGAAAGCTGATGAAGGAGAGGGGAGCATGGCAGAGGTTTGTGAAATAACTGACTGGGTGGAAGAAGTGGATAGACCCTTTTCTCTGTCCTGAACCTATTGCCCATCAGCTTCATTGGGTGCCACTGAGTTCTCGTATTTTGGGACCAGCGCGGGGGAAATTGTCAAAGTCACTGCCACTGGATGTAGTGAGGGCCACAAGCAGAGATGGCTTTAAAAGGGGACTAGACAGGATGCTGGACTTCTTAATTAATTTGTATGTATGAAAGCAAGCATGAACCAGGGTAGAATTAAATTTTCTACCCAAAACTGTGTTTCAGTAATTAGGCAGACTGTCATGTTCTGCTTTCAGCCATAAAAGAGCAGACCACAATCTGGCTCCCGGCTCTTCCTCCTCTCACAGGTCTTGCAGGGTCTACTCCCTGCACAGATGTTAGCCAAATTGCTCTATTATTTAATAAAGATGGGGAATTATAATTATTAATATGCAATTGGCTTATCTATAGGATCTGACCTGTGTATACCAGAGTTAGAATTCCCAAGAACCCAGGAACAGACAGAAACTGGGTGGATAAAATAATGATTTCTTTACTAAACATTCTCAAGCATACAAACAATATTCAAACACTCACACACACAATATAGAACTATAAGGAAGCAGAGGTGATTGATAGCTTATAGAGGGGTGATACAACCTGTCCAGATGTGTAGGGGTCCATGAAGAAAGGATTGTGGCCTAAACTCAGAGAGTTCAGGGGTGGACTGCCAGTTGGCATCATGGCAGAAAACACACGGTCTGAGGCCATGTGTACGCTGGGATATACCCATTGGAAGACAATGCAGACCAATGGGCGGCCCTGTGGGCTGGTCTCAGGTGAGAACAATAGATTTCCTGGACCAATGATGAGTCCCAGGGGTGTGTGGCATCAGGATGGGTGAGGCCTAGATGTGACCAATGAGCTTCCAGAGAGGCAGGGTCTGGATTTAACAACAGAAGCCAGGTGCTGGGTGGCTAGCTGAGTGGATTATCTGACCACTAATGGTCCTGGCCAGGGTAAACAAAAGGTGGGAGACGTCCCTGTTTAGCGTCAGGAAGGATCAATAATTTGAATGCTTGATTGGTTTATCCTGGGATCTTGAGGGACAGAGTAGAAAAGACAAGTATTCAGACAAAGAATTAAATAGACTTTAGATACTTTACCTGCTAGGACTCATTGTTATTCCATAAGCATAATCTCTGCTGGGAAAGATTGAAGGTCAAAGAAGATGGGACGGCAAAGGATGAGATGATTAGACAGTGTCATAGATGCAACGAACATGAAATTGAGCAAACTTCAGAGGACGGTGGAAGACAGGAAGGCCTGGCGTGATCTGGCCCATAGGGTCGCGAAGAGTCGGACTCGACTGTGCGACTGAACAACAACAATCTCTGCTGGGTGGAGGGGGAAGACTGGAGGCTTGCTCTGAGGTTGCCAGTCACCTGAAAATGGAGACCCCTTTTTCAGAGCTGTGGCTAGCTCTGTGTTTCAGAACCAAGAGTGCCTTCCTTGGCCTGAGTTTTGTGGGCTTCTGGGTCAGGTTAGAAGTGGGGTGCCCTTGCTATTGGGGTAAAAGGCAGCGCCTCTGGCAACACGGAGGCAGACCTGTGAATGAATTGTCAGATATAATTTCTTTTTATGCACTGGACAGCAACGTAAACAAGACGGGAAAGGCAAATTCGTCCTGATAAACATGTTCTGAAAAATCCATTTTCATTCCTCAGCCTTGCAGTTAAATTCAGCTGTCTTGATTGCACCAGATGGCCATGGAAAGTTTCATAGACAAATGTGTAAGTCTGAAAACCTGAATAAAGGGTCAGAGCATCCATTTTGCCCGCCTTGCATTATGGCATGGTAATTTCTCACTGTGTTAATATAACATAGGGGAAGGGGCGCACTTGGGAACAAAAGACAGCCTGTTTCACACAGATCTCATAGGAAACGGAAGACCACATTACCAAGGACATAAACAGGATACGTTTTGTCAGATTATATTTTGTCCTCTGTGTTTTGTGTTTAATGGATCAGGAACTATCAAGGTTAATGATAACCATTTAAACAACATGGTTACAGCCTATCATTGACTTTAGAAACTGGTTTCCTCTGGTAACTTCAATGAAGCAGGCTTTGTGTTAAACGCTAAGGCAACCGAGCAGGCTGTGTTTAGCACAAAGCCCTTCTCTGTTCAAAAGCTACACATGGGTTGTCAGCATCCAACTGCAAGTGAAATAGCAATGGGAAAAAGAGGCTAGACAAAAGCATCTTTTTGTTTCATAACCACGTATTAGAGGTTTCCCTCAACCTCTTTTTAAGAACCAGAAACGACTAGACATTTAGTGTAACAATGTGAACCATGTAAGTATCAGTAATTACTACTTCCAATACTAGTATTTGAAGCAATTGCTTTACCGACTCGTCTCACTTTCCCGTTAGTGGCTGGCTGGGGGATAGGATGGTCAGCAGCC